TGATAAGTAGTATCTATATAAGACCATCAGCAAGCATTATATGTAATGGGGATTAGTTAGAAGCTTTCCCAATAAGATCAGGGGTGAAACAAGGATGCCCACCACTATTATTCAATATAGTACTAAAATGTTAGCTTTAGCAATAAGAGAAGAAAAAGAAATTGAAGGAATTAGAATAGGCAATCAGAAAACAAAAGTATCACTATTTGCAGATAATAAGATGGTATACTTAGAGAATCCTAGAGAATCAACTAAAAAACTATTTGAAATAATTAACAACTTTAGCAAAGTTGCATGATACAAAATAAACCCACATGAATCATCAGCACTTACACATATAGATGTAGATATATAGATATACATACTACCAACAAAGCCCAGCAGCAAGAGATAGAAAGAGAAATTCCACTTAAAATAACTGTAGACTATATAAAATATTTGGAAGTCTTCTTGCCAAGACAAACCCAGGAACTATATGAACACAATTACAAAACACTTTTCACACAAATAAAGTCAGATCTAAAAAACTGGCAAAATATTAATTGCTCATGGGTAGACTGAGTTATTATAATAAAAATGACAATTCTACCTAAATTAATTTGCTTATTCAGTGCCATACCAAAGTACCAAAAAATTATTTTATAGAGCTAGAAAAAAAAAAAACAAAAATCATCTGGAAGAACACAAAGGTCAAGAACATGAAGTGAATTAATGAAAAAAAATGCAAAGTAAGATAGACTAAACAGACCAGATCTAAAACTATATTATAAAGTGACAATCATCAAAACTATTTGATATTGACTAAGAAACAGAGTGGTGGATCAGTGGAATAGATTAGGTCAGAGGTGGGGAACCTGCGGCTTCAAGGCCACATGTGGCCATCTAGGTCTTCAAGTGTGGCCCTTTGACCGAATCCAAACTTCACAGAACAAATCACCTTAACAAAAGGATTTATTCTATGAGGTTTGGATTCAGTCAAAGGAGAGCAACACATAGTTTACCTTTCAAATCTAAGGATAAGGGAAGAGTTTATGGCCAAATAAAAGAGAGAAAACATTATAAAATACAAAATGGATAATTTTGATTACATTAAATTAAAAATTTTTTGCACAAACAAAAACAATGCAACCAAGATTAGAAGGAAAGCAGAAAGCTGGGAAACAATTTTTACAGCCAGTGTTTCTTATAAAGACCTCATTTCTCACATATATAGAGAATTAATATTAAGAATAATAAGAATACAAGTCATTCCTCAATTGATAAACGGTCAAAGGGTATGAAGTCAGTTTTCAGATGAAGAAATCAAAGTTATCAATAGGCATATGAAAAGTCCTCTAAATCACTCTCGATTAGAGAAATGCACATTAAAACAACTCTGATGTATCACTTCACACCTATAAGAGTGGCTAACATGAACAGAAAAGGAAATTGATAAATGTTGGAGATGCTGTGGGAAAACTGGAATACTAATGCATTGCTGGTGAAGTTGTGAACTGATCCAACCATTCTGGAGAACAATTGGGAAACTATGCCCAAAGGGCTATAAAACTATGTATACCCTTTCATCCAACAGTACCACTACTAGGTCTGTATCTCAAAAAGATCATTAAAAAAAGGGGAAAGGATCCACATATACAAAAATATTTATAGCAGCTCTTTTTGTGGTGGCAAAGAATTGGAAATTGAGAGGGTGCCCATCAATTGGAGAATAGCTGAACAAGTTGTGATATATGAATGTAATGGAATACTATTATGCTATAAGAAATGATGAGCAGGCAGATTTCAAAAAAAACCTGCAAAGACTTATATGAACTGATGTTGAGTGAAATGAGCAGAACCAGTAGAACAGAGAACATTGTACAGAGTAACAGCAAGAATCAACTTTGATACACTTAGCTCTTCTTAACTATACAATGATCTAAGTCATTTCCAAAAGACTCATGATGGAAAATGCTGTCCACATCCAGAGAAAGAACTATGTATGGAGTCTGAATGCAGATGGAAGCATACTATTTTCACATTTTTTTGTCTTTTCTTTTCCATGCTTCTTCCCTTTTGTTCTGATTCTTCTTTTACAATATAACTAATGTGGAAATATTTTTAATATGATTGTACATGTATAACCTATATCAGATTGCTTGCTGTCTTGGGGAGGGGGGAGGAGAAGGAAGGAGGGAGAAAAAATTTGGAACTCAAAATCTTATAAAAGTGAATGTTGAAAATGTTGAAAACTACCTTTAAATATAACTATAAATATAACTTTAAATATAATAGGGAAAATACTATTAAATTGGGTAGGAGGGGAAGGAAAAGGAAGGGAAGCAGTATAGCCAGTATTTCTCTCTTATTAGACTGTGAACTCCTTGAGAGCAGGGACTGTCTTTTGACTTTCTTTGTATCCTTAGCACTCAGCACAGTGCCCAACACATAACAGATGCTTAATAAATGCTTATTGATTGGTGCTTAATAAATGTTTGACTGGCACTTAATAAAAAAAAATCCCTAATTTCTTTTAAGACTCAGTTCATGTACTGATTTGGACACGAAACTTTTCTTAATCACCTCCAGCTGCTAGTGTCCTCCCTTGTTTTCAAATCACCTTGCATTTATTTTTAGAAGCCCATATGTGTATATGTTGTATCCTTTTATAGAATGTATGATCCTTGAGGTCAAGGACTGCTTCACTGTTGTCTTTGTATTCCTTGTGCATAGCACAGTGCCTGACATATAGTAGGTGCTTAATAAATGCTGGTCATTGGTTGATTGATCAAGGACCTGAGTTCACATTAAAGCTCTGATCCTTATTACATGTGTTTTCTTAAGGAAGTCATTTAACCTGCTCTAGGCCACAATTTCCTTTTCCATAAAGTGAGGGAATTCAAGTAGATGATCTCTAAGATAACTTGTAGTTCTATATTCTATTGTCCTATAACTTATCTAATGACTAGTAATGATGACCATTGACTATGCCTCTAACATTAGAAAAAAATCAATTTCAAATAAATACTAACTTATTGAGGGTCTTTTACTGATAGAGAAAATGATTATACTTATTTCATGGCTACATCGTTCTTTTCCCCCTTAAGGCAGAAACTTTCAGAATTGTCTCTTTAAAAGACTCATACAGTGACTTTGGTCTAAATTAATTACCTCTCCATAAACTTTTGCATTGCCTGCCTAGAATACATCTTTTTTTTTGTCTGTCTTCTGATCATGGAACAGTGTTCCAATTATCTTGGAATGTACTAAAGGTGACAGTGACAAGATTCTAAGAGTCTTTAAACTATTCAAAAATTTATTGTATCAACCCCAAGAAAACAAGTAAAAAGGAAAGGCCATATAAATTTCAGATTTCTTGGTCCAGAGGCCTAGAAGCAAAATTCAGCCTTCAAGCTAAATTACATGTAAAATAACCTCCCTTTTAGACAATTCAATGTTATGATCAAGGTAAACATAAGAGACTGATCATCATAAGAAAAGTTTTTTACAAAAAAGTGACAATATTTTAATAACTGAGTCAACAATTTTGAAAATTAAAATGAGAAACTGAAGGAAAAGAGTCTGAATGAAAAATAATTAGGAAGGTACTGCAAAAAATGTTACCTGAGCTACAAGTTTTGCAGTCTGAAAAACAGAAATTTTGTGCTGAATTTCTGGATTAGTAAGACATGCTGGGGGCAGCTAGGTGGCATAGTGGAAAAGTCAGAAGGACCTGAATTCAAATCTGGCCTCAAACTAAACACTTGACACTTACTAGCTGTGTGACCCTGGGCAAGTCACTTAACCCCAACTGCCTGGAAAAAAAAAAAGACATGCTACCTCCCATATGCCTCCAATTTTTTAATCTATTATTACCAATATATTCATAGTACATTCACTAAAGTTCTGTTCTGATTCCCTACCAGGTTCTATTAAGTTGGAAGGACAGGCAAGGTGACAGACTATATGCCTATTGTCTAGGGAACAGCCTAGGTAAATTCAGAGAGATTCATCATCAGGCTGACTCCAGGGTGATTAATTTTTCAGAATTCTTCAAAATAATTTATTAAATTCTAGAAGAGTTGCATTTTAAGAAACCAAGCTGTATCATTTGAGGACATGGGATGAGATGTCCCACTAGGGTTCTCCTTGCAGCTTGGAAGGTCAAAGGCACTAGATTTGGAACGAGAGGATCTCAGTTTAACTCTCACTTCCACAGTCATCTCTTTCACATTACGGGTCTTAGGGGTATGATGCCCCATGATCTGGAAAATCCACATAAAATTTTTGGCCCTCCCTCTATACCAGAGAAGAAGTCTGAATTTTTTTTTCTTTTTTTTTACGGAGTGTTTCCAGTATCTTATTGTAAAATTTGGGTTAAGTATTTGGTCATGGGTTATATTATACAATAATATATATGTGTGTGCATATGTATATATGTGCATTTATATGTATATATACACATGTATATATATGTATGTGTGTGTATATGTAAGTCGCATTATTGAGTTTCTAAATATTTTTGTATCATCTGCAGCTTCCATAAAACTCCCCCAAAAATTCCTATTTAATTTCTTTTGCTGACTCGTGATATATTGAAACTTCGATGGGGAAAACTGAGATGTGGAAGGGATAACTGTATAACTGTGTGTCCAGATATCCTTTAATCTCTCTGAACCTAGTTCCTGAATCAATATTGGAGGAGGCTGGAAAACATGGGCCCTTTTATCTGTAAATCCTACAAGCTACGCTATTCCATCAATTTCTCTAGATCATTTCTAACACTTTTTCCCTCCCTTCATGAATTCTATGAACTTTTGGGGGGGGTCACTTTTAAAATGCTTAACACCTAAATTCTATATTATCTTTTTGCTCACACTGAATTCTTCACAAACGCAAACTTAAAATGCTAGTGAATGTAGTGATAGCCTTAAAAATCATTAAGTGACTATATTAAAATCATAATGAAAAAGAAAAATTCAACATGCTTGTCAAAATGTGTGAACAAAAACCAGAATTACCATATGAAGAGCTGTTGAAGAGTTCAATATTGAAGAAAGCATAGGCCCCGTTGGTCATTCCTTGCCGGTGAGCAGCTAACATGATGTTCCGGACTGTATTGCTGTTGGCACACATGATCACAACTGATGAGGAAAAATGAAAAACCTCGATAAGAAGTTGTCCTTGAAAATATTAAGAACTGATAGATTTACCTAACACTACTCAATGGGAGAAAAGTTACATATCAATAAAATAATATAAATATCTTAACAGTAACAACAATAATAATAAATTAAGTATATCTTCATTATTTGAGTTGTAAAAATCTTTTCTGAAAAATTAAACATTTTTCAAAGAGAAAATAAAAGTTTATCTCACAACTTGAATGTGAAAACATTATTTTGGGACTCCTTTAAGACATACAGTAGGTGTTTACTGCATATTAGATCTGATACCTGAGATTCAATTTGGGCACACACTTCTACATTTAAAAGGCAATATCTAAGTATTTCCAGAATACCGTAGCCAACTACAGAAGAGCAACATAAGCTAAAGTGAGGTAGTGCAGTGGGTGAAAATAGCACTGGTCCTGGAGTCAGGAGATGTGGGTCCATTACTGGCCCTGATGCTATATGATTATGGACAATTCATTTAAGCACTCTGAGGCTCAGCTTCCTCATATATAAAATGGTGACAATAACATTTGAACTATCTACCTCACAAGACTGCTGTAAGGAAAGTGCTTGCTTAGTGAAGCTTAAAGAGCTATGTAAATATTAGTTGTCAGGGTTTTTTTCAAGTGAAGTGGCAATTTGATCAGTCTATGTTTGTTTGACCAATATTGATAGGAGAATTAAGTAATAGACAAATCTCTACTTTTGTTTGCCCTGGATAAATCATTTAATGTTTCACAGTATTCACTAAAGTAAGCAAAAAACTTTCTAGAGCTATCATAAGTGATGCCAACAATGAAAGAAGTGTGTATCTCTTATAATAGCATGGGCACTGAAAGATGCAAAACAAACTTGAAACATACCATGCAAAATCCTGCCTCAGCAGTTGGAGGGCTAGTTAAGCTGACTGATATTTACTTTATTTTGTTTGCTTGTTTGTTTTTTCTTTAGGCAATTGGGGTTAAGTGACTTGCCCAGGGTCACACAGCTAGCACGTGTCAAGTCACTGTGCCACCTAGCTGCCCCTATTTACTTTATCATACATGTGAGCTCAATGTGTTATGGCACCAAGTTTGACACTTGTTATTACAAAGGGGATAAAACTCTTAAAGGGATGTACCATGGAATTGGGTTTTTGATGACTGTGAGATATGACTAATATAGCCTTTTGGAATGAAAAGCTGCATGCCACAATACCTTATTAAGGAGTTCTACAACTCCAACTCACTCTTTGCTATTCATGTCTTTTAGATCCCTTATTTCAGATCTTCCTCTCATCCATCCACTTACGGAAGGTGAGAGAGTATAACACAAGCCAGTGCAGTTCTTTCCCTTTTGCTAGCAGTTGGAAATTAGGGGGAAGGGTTAGTTGAGGAGAAGGCTGAAACAGCTGACTTAGATAAGAATTTCAGATTTCAGTTGGCTTCCTTTCCCCCATCAGCATTAAAAAAAAAATTAGCTGTCAAAAAATATCTCATAAACTCTGTGTTCTGAAAAAAAAATGGTATTAAATTTCAATAAACAGGCTTTAGAGTTGCCTTAGAAGAAACATTTAAAGAATGATACACTGAAACTTGAGCACTAAGGAAAGTTGAGGAATCTCCTTCCCAGGAGACTTTTCGTGATGCTAATAACTCTCTCGCACAGTTTCCATGTAGGAAGGCCAGGAAGTGCCGGGCTGGAGATTTCCTGTGGTCCTGTACAGCCCTCAGGGAACACACTGACATTTTTTTTCTTTCCAACTATGCCACCAATTAATTTACTGAAATGTATTTTCGATAAAATGTCATTAAGAATAAGACTGAGTCTGCACGTCTGAGATGGTGTTCTCTGACACTTGTGCATCTCACATGGATTTTAGCTGCAGTCCCCTCTCCTGTGCTGGAGAGCTTGTGAAGTTATCTGTGTTCCTCCTTTGCCCCTCTTCCCACACCCTCTTTGAAGCCTGTATAGCTTGTGGTTCCAACGCTTTTCTGCAACTGCGTGGAGAGTAGCATAGAAAGGGGCCATAAACTGACACACAGGAGCCACTACTGAGCCCTTAAGACAAAGGCAGACGCTACATGTGGCTGATGGGATAGCAAAACAGGAATGTCAGATCAGTGTGCAGCTGCTATTGAGGGAGGAAGGAGAATAGGTGGGAAATAATATTCTTTCACCCATACATAACCGGAAGGGAGCTGCACATCCTACAAAGGTTTAATTTCAGCACAACTCCAGGCTTTTGGCCTACTAGACTGATGTTCTGCAGTCTCTTCAACATTATTCACATGTAAACACAGTATTGCATATGCATACAGATGAATGAATCACACAACTGTACAAGATGCATATGTAGATTATACTTAATGAAAAGAAAATCCTTAGGGTTGTTTCTATCCCCCCCCCAAAAAAAGAGGCATACTATTCACAAACTAAAAATAAAATGCTGTGCTTTGTACAGGCAAATAGTAGGTCTTCAAGTATGCTGGCATTTTTTGCTTGTGCAGAAGGTATTGTGTTCTCCAAAAGATTTTAGAACATACTTCACTCAGCCAGTATACAAATAGCTCTTTGTTTTAGCTGTGATACATATTAGTTAATTTGTACTTATCTTGAGTCCTTTGCTTGGAAACATCTTTATCTCAGACTGTTTAATAAAGAAATCATGTATCTGCTGCTTTAAATTGTTAACTTAAATTATCTAGGCCTAATCATGAATTGCACAGATTAATCCCCTCATGAATAACTAAAACAGTAACATTCAGTTAGTTCTAGGGTGGGAATAGCTAACTCAAGGAGAATAACTCTAGAATTAGGTCTTACTAGGTGTACCTTTAAAAAAAAAAACAAACAAACTTGAATTCCCTTTGCTCAGACTTTGATTTGTCTATCTACTTTCCAGACTTATTTCATATCATTCACCTTTGCAGACAAGATGAGTCACTTGCTCTCAGAATCTGGCATTCTATGCATTACCTCCACACCTTCAAATAGCCTGGTCCCTGAAATGAATTCCCTCTTCACCTCTGCCTATTATATTTGTACTTTTTATTCAATGCTCAGTTTAATATGCTCTCTTAGAGCAAATCTTTCCTAATCCCCCTAGGTTTCAGTGCTCTCCGTCCTTAAATTATCTTCTGCCACTGAAAGTCTCTTAAGGGAAAGAACTGTTTTTTCTTTTGGCTATGTATACCCAGAGCCTAAAAAAGTGTCTTGCATGAGTAAAAACTTAATAAATGCTTGCTGAAGAGACTTAAATATCAAAAACAGATTTATTACACAAAAATTCATTCATTTTTTATATGTCATAAAATATATGGGTGTAGGAGCTTTTTTTTCTTTACTGAATATTTAAAGCAATAACTCACACTTATATGGTACTTTGAGGTTTGAATGGTACTTTCCTTACAACAATCTTATGAATTACATGGTATATTATATCCATTTGAAAGATGAATTTGAGCTCTGAAAGGTTAAGGGACTTGACCAGAAATGCAGAGCTTCTGTGTGTCCCAGGTGGGCTTTAAAACCGGTCTGACTCCAGATATATGCTCTCCCCAACATGCTTCTCAGCAGCTTTTTAGGGGAGTCAGTTTTAATTTGTATATTGTGTAACTATCAGTGTTTTAAAAATATTATTTGAATGTTTATGTCTTCATTTATTTTCTCCATTGCTTCAAGGAGTAAGACAGAGTCCACTTTATTTCTTGTATCAGGCTATAAGCTTCTGATGGGGAAAACCAACGTGTCTGTGGTTCTCTTTGTATAGTGCCATATATATAAGGCCATACACAGTATGTTTTGTTTTTTCGAAGAAGTCTGTCAACTTATGTGAGTTGAGAGTTATTGCCAAACACATCTGTTTTGAAAATAAATTGACATCACAAACAGTAGTCAAGGTGCTATGGAGAGTCAAGCTGCCTCTGACTCTATGTGACATTGTCCAAATCACTATCCCTCTGAGCCTTAGTTTCCTCATCTTTAAAATGATGATAAAATCTTTAAAGACCTAAAGATTTAAGAGGTAATATATTGTTTGCTAACCTTAAACATTGTATGCTCTGCTTGTATTATTATTACAGAAAACATTTTTAAAAGATGCTATGAAAATCTGAAAAGTAATTACCCTTAACATTTTAGTAGTACTTTCTCTGTATATATAGACTTTTCTTTGAAAACAAATAAATAATTCCATCAGCCAACCAGCAAGGCTTTATTAAGCACCTACTATGTGCCAGGCACAAAGCCTATGTTTCTGCTTAACCGCTTGGGGGGGAGGGAAGAAGGAAGAAGCACATAGAAAAGAGGACCTGGTGTGTCTTATTCTTTCATAGCGTGTAAGAGTATGTGTGTGAGTGTGTGTGTGTGTTTTAATGATTTTTTTTTCTTCTGGGTTCCAAAATCCCTGAAGTTAGAAGCTTGTTCAAAAAAAAAGTATGTATAGTTTTAACTCTCACTTTTTTTTCCTTCCATTAAATCATCCACAATCAGGTATGTTACTCCCACATTTAAATATACATTTTTGTATTCGAATCTTAAGCAATAAACTACACATTTTTCCTCTTACAGAAAGAAAACCCAAGGAAAAAAAAATAAAGGATGGAGGCTTCCCCTTCAATGTGCCAATGAGCACTCTATCTTCTTTTATTCTGCCTATCACTGCTTTCCCCCAGCCTTCTGAAACACTTAACTAAAACTGAAAACTTCAGCTGCTCTCAAGCCACAGCGAGCCAGAGCAGAGAGCCTGGAGAAAAGGGGAGAGGTGGTAGCCCTTACTACCTGCATTTAAAAGTGTGAGCTATACTACTAGCATGTGACTGGAAATGTTCCACAGAGATTCCCATTCCCCCAATAGGCCCTACTGAGGCATCCAAAGCCCACCTTTGTATGGCAAAAATCATGCCTATTTCGAGAATCTGAGGTAAACTTGGGCAGCAGCCCGGAGAGTCAGCATTGCCAGCAACTGACATCCACTCAGGCAGTCGGACGCACGCATCTGTCCTTTCCCTGCCCTCTCTAGTGTTCAGCTTGGCGCCGCTCACACTAGTCAGGCGGCGAGGGAAGAGTTACACTTGGGCTGATGCTCATAGCTCTCTGCCTGTAGGTTTCATATTTATTCCTGCAGCCCTCAACTGTCCATCTCGACGCTAGGGCTACACGACGCTATGGGAGAGATCTGCCCTGTTTGGGTGGGGAAAAGAGGGGGAGGGGTTTATTTTCACGTCCTGGGTGTGGCCGCTAGGAAATGTGTTGTAAGCAGTTCGATCTGAATGCCTATTCTGTAAGCCACAGAACAACAACAACAAAAAAAATCCCGAGTAATTTGGGCAGCCTGAGGTTTGTGCAGACCGAGAGAGGGTCGGCCCATGGTCCTAGCTAAATGGACTGGGACGCCAACCGTGGGATGGGTGTGTCATATGTAAATGTGTGTACATATGTATATATGTATTGTACATATACATGTATATCTCTGTGGTATACCGTAAAGGCTTAAGCGTTCACTTAACTCCATGTGTCAATAACCCGGGGCAGCCCTAGGCAGGCCCGGGACAGAAGTGCATGGAAAAGCTTGATTTTGGCCACGTATTTCGCAATCCCAGAACCTTCCCTTCTTCCACCTAGACTAGGGGGCCCATCTACCCAGCGCCCTAGATTAAGCCGAAAAACTGCACGGCTAAAACTGCTGTCTCCGTTTTTCGCAGCCCTCCCACCTGTTCCAGATTCCGGTGACAGTGTGGAGGTTGGGCCAGAGACTTCTGAGGCCACGCGCCTGTGCTTACTTCTCCGCCTACGCTCGCCAAGTCAAGGGCTCAGGTGCACGGAACAGCCCTTTCCACACGGGTAAATCGGTCTGCCAGCTCACGCACCTCTAGAGGGCCTGAGTCTCACGGGTCTCGTTCCCAGGGCTGAGGGTACCAAGATTTCACCACCTACATTCCAGGCACAATGACGTAAGGGGAGGGCGAAGAGGTGGCATTCTGGAGCTAGCTGACGGCATCCCCTTGGCGCATTGCGCCCTTATCCAGATATGGTTAGGCACCCTGCCTGATTTCCCTGGGAAATCTCACTGACTGCCCTGAAATTAGTGGATAGGAAATTGAACTCCCTTCTTTTCTCATTCGCAGCTACCAACCCCACGCAAACCATTTCCCACCTCTTGTCTATTTCGGCATTTATTTTTTTTTTAAGAAGCAAATTATTATTACGGTTGGAACCACGTGGATACAAGCTTCAAACTCTGGGTAACTCTCCAGCAAGTACGGGGCTTGAAGCTGCCCCTATTTGGGAGCTTTGGGGATGGAAACACACAGGAATCTAAAAGGGATGTAGATAGCTACCAGGACGCTGCGACGCACTTTGAGTGGAAATCCTGGAAACGTATTTACAAGGAGGCTGGGAGTGGGAGAAGTGAGGAGGACCCAGGAGATGAATAAGGAAAAATCAATACAATAGAGCTTTTTAAAGGAAATAGAATAGTAACCGGAAGAGTAAAGGAAATGGGACAACAGCATGACAAGCATAGCGGGGGCCGGGGGGGAAAGGCACTTAAAACAGGGCATTAGGAAAGCTAATCAACACTACACAAACTTTAAGGGAGAGGAAGGGAAAAGGGAAAGCCAAGATAAGTAGTCAGGACCAGGACCGGAAAACCCTCCAGTCTTTTCGCTTCTCTCCTCCCCTCCCCAGACCTAGAGAAGGAGAGAGAATAGATTTCCTTCCTATCTCCCTCCCTCCTCCCCTCTATGCCCTTACACATTCCCTGGTCCTCTACCAAGGAGATGGGGAGGATGATACGTGGGCCAGTGGAAAAAGTTCGTCCCCAAGCTGAAAGTGCTTGGACTTGTGCAGTTACACTTGCACTTCTCCATCCCTCTCACCCCTTTCCACATCCCCAACGCCAGGGAAAGTGGGAAAAAGTTGGGGTGTCCTTACAATGTTCAGGGAGTAGAATAGAGAGGGTTGGGAGGCGGGATGGGAGAGGGCTAAAAGGTACACCAGATGGGGACGTTCCCCTAGCTCACCCCTCTCACTGGCCTGGATGTAGCGCACGATCTCTTCAGCGTCTAGGGCTTTGGTCTCGTCGAAGCTGTAGGCGGATGTGTGCAAACCCTCCTCCTGGAAGACCTCATGGACCCCCTCCAGGGTGAAGTAACAGTTCCGCTCCAGCTTGTCATCGCTGTAGATCAGGGCAGCTCGGCTCCACTGGTGATGCCGGAACAAGGCGAGCATCATCTCTCCCATCTTGGCGTAGGCGGGTGCGACACGGGTAAGGTGCGAGAATTCGCTCTCCTTGTGCTTGAAGCCAGCGGCAAGAGCTCCAGCAGACAGCATGGGCAGGTCCCAGTGCGACGCCAGCCGGGCCACAGGTGCTGCCGCATATTCGCAGACGGGGCCCAGGATCAAGTCTGGTTTAGACCCCCGGGCCACTGCCACTCGATCAACTAAACTGAAGAGTGCCTGATTGCCGCAATGTGAGTCCTGATAGTCCACCTGGAAGCTGTAGCCCTGTGGAAGCAGCTGTCTCTTGGTTCCATTTTCCTCCACGCTACGCAGCGCGTACTCGATGGCCGGCTTGACCCTGTCCAAGGAGAACATGTAAGCATTGTCCTTGGGTAGAAGCACCAGAACCTCGATCTTCTGCGTCTCCCCCACCAAAGGGAGCCCGCCGCCTGGGTTTCCGCTGCTGCTCCCGCTGCTGCTGCCGCCGCTTGCCAGAAGCGCCCAACTGAGCACAGCGCAAGAAGAGAAACTGAGTAACAAAAAGGATGGCATTGCGCTGAAGTGCAACTTCTTCTACTCACCTTCGCTTTTCTTCTTCCCACCACCCTCCTCCTTCTCCCTTTCCCCTTTCTTTTCCTCTACCTCCTTAGTCCCTACGCCCCCTTGGGTGCCCTAAGAAAACAGAATTCCACTTCTACCGTCAAGTGACGGAAAAAAGGGTCCTTCTCTGAAATGTCACCAGTTTTTTTTTTAAAGAATATATCTATGACCCTGTAATATATTATATAGATATTTCTCTTTCCTCCTATATACTATTTTGCCCAGAGGTGACTTCTTTTTTTTGGACGTTGTTGAAGTTGATTTTGAAAGAATGCTTGCAAAAAAAAAAGTTAAACTTGTCCAAGTGATTGTAATTGACGGAGCATCTGCCTCCCGTTTGATCTCATTGATTCTCCCTTGTTTCTTGATACATATCCTCAGTTTAAATAGTGTGGTAGCGGAGGAGCCTGTTACCACACATGGAGCTGCGAGAACGGGTTTGTATTTCGAGCGGGTAGGGTGGGGGGTTGACGGGGGGTTGGAGGGGAGCCTCTCATTAGCATTCTTACATCAGGACTCCTCCCCACACCCCTTCCCTCCCTCCTCCCCAACCTCAATCCACCCACCACCCCGACCTTTTTCTTAAAGTTGCAGCACACGTACACACTCACTCATCTACCCTCAGTTCATACCCACAGTGCACACGCGCCTTTTCTGTTCCCCAACTAGCTCCATTACACAGCAGCTCAATTCAGGCGCCACCGTTTCAGTTCAAAGGCGACTGACTGAAGATCCTTACACAATAAATTAATGTGCAAATAAACACACAAGCGCCTAGCAAACGTAACAAACCAACCAAGATCCCGTCTGACTTTTACTAGCATGGAAACTTCGGGGGTCTCCACTGCAGTGAGCGCGCGCTCTCGTCTTTCCCCCGCTCTCCTTTCTCTCCCTTTCAGGCAGTGGCACTGAAGAAGGTCTAAGTGCGGAGGATGAGGTATGCTGCCCACTATCTATCTATCTCTATTATCCAGAGCTCTACTAAGGCTGCGAGGTCTTTGACACGCCGAGGCGCCCAAAGAGAGAAGTTTGCTTTCATAGATCGAAGTCCACTAGACGTCTCCAGTGTCCTGGCGTCCACTACATACCTGGGACACAAGCTAGCCAAGCCCAATTTCTGGCGGTCGATATGCACTTTGCCGGCAGAAACTTCCTTGCGGCTTTCCCCCACTTACACTTCTCTTCCGCCTATGCAGTTGCTGCCTTCCCTCTGGTCCTTGAGTGCGCCGCCGCTTCTCTTTGCACACGTTTTTCCCAGGTCTGTAGACCAAGTGGCACCAAGGAGCGCTTTCTGAAAGAAGAGTTGCGCGGGCGAAGAAAGCGAAACTTCTTGCATGCAGAGGGCGACTTCCAGTCCGCGATTCCGCTTGTCCACAGGCCATTGGAACATGACAGATGTTTGCAAACCGCCCAAAAACGTCCCCAGGACTTTATGCGCACAAATTGAAAAGTAAGTTCGGGACCGTCCATATCCCCGCCTTTCCAAAGGACGGTGAAGCTCTCTGAAGAACAGAAAGGTAACAACAGATCCGAAGTCCTGATCTCTTGCAAGTCAATAGGCAGGAATGGAAAGGATTTCATACAAGTCAGTGGACTGGCTGTCAAGTCAGGAAATACTTGCTTTCCCATGCATATTCAAAGAGAATTCGGCATTCTTATTATTGGTATATGTACATATAAAACATTATTTGTTTGGGTCACATACTTCACTACATCTATGAGGCTTAAAAAATTTAAATTCCACAAATTAGAAAAATACAAACGATCAGAACTTCGTTTGAATACTTTCACTTAACTTTAAAGAAACATAAAGCTTTTCTCCCATATTACTCCCAGGAAAACGCCCTCTTTCGGCAGGAAAATGAATAAGGCTGGTAACCTTTGCAACACTGCTCCAGGCTCTGCATTTTTATCTCCCAATCTAGAATTTTTGTTTCCATTTGTATTTATAATTATCCTCATAATTCTTTTTTTCTCTTGTTGAACTGATAAATACAACTCTTCATTATGCTAACTTAAAGAATAGAAAGTGTGCTTAATTGAAGTTAATGGAAATGTAATCTCAAAATCCAACTTTAAGATCCTGTCTCCTACTCCTTTGAAATCTTTTATAAAAAAAAAAAATTTCAGGGACGGGGAAGTGAAGGAGGGAAAGATAGAATTTGGAACTCACAACCTAAAAAAATGTTAAAATTGTTTTAGCATGTAATTGGGGTAAAACAAAATATATTACATTTAAAAACTACTTAAAAGTCAGGAAAATAGACTGAATTCTAAAATATTTTAATTTCACCTAATATTTAATAGCAAGAGAGGCTGCATGGAGTAGTGGCTAGAGAACTGGCCCTAGAGTCAAGAACATTTGGCTTAAGCCTTGCGGCTAACATGTTCTATCAGTGTGATCACGGGCAAGTCAATTTATAGCTTCGTACCCCAGACAGTTCGGTCAAACTAATTGTAGAGAAGTTGTCTATTAGTAAAGGTAGAAAGAGTTTCTGCAATGGGAGTTCGCTATACAACTGAATGACCACCCATCCTCTTTACACCCCTCACCCCCACCCCAAGCATAGTACCTGGACAAAATCCACAACTGAATAATTGAAAATGCACTCTATTAGACAACTTTAGGCACAGCATTTTTAAAGGAAAACAACTGAGTCCCAGGTTGAATGAATTTCTCATTTTAAATCGAATCCTAAAGAATATAAAGTATCCTGTTATTCCTATTATGAGTTTGTAGGGTGATATAGTCAAAGGCAAAGTAATTCTCCAGTTTGCTGTTCAAGTCTTAAAAAGAGAGACTCAGGGTTTAAATGGCAGGAGTGAATTGTCTCTCACTTTACAGATGGTCTTCTCAACTTAGCCTGGAGGTCATTGTCAGGGCAATGCATTTAAGTTTAGTTTAATACGGAGCTTTCACTGTTTGGGTTTGGAATTGGAATACCTCATTTTCAGTGTATAACCCTTCTGTGAACTTTTAAAGGAACTTAAAAGATAAAAGAAATCAAGGAGAAAATTTGCATCTTGTACTCCAATAAACCAAATAATGAAACAAGAATAGTTTATGCTATTTAATTTCCTGCTTTTCAAAACATTCCTCAGAAAACGTTAAAGAAGAGAAATTGGGATTTATCAACAGTATTTGTCAAATGTAAATGGTCATAAAATTATATAAAAAGGACTAATTATGAATATCATTGGTAAGTATGTACATTTTAGTGTTGTTGAATTACTTCATGTAATATTAGTATTTGGAAACCAGTAAAAATGTTACATAAATATCAGTGTATAAATATGACCTGTCATTATATGTCTATTAAAGCCATGTCTTAAAACTAGAATGGATCTTAGAAATCATCTAGTCCCATCCCTTGATATATCAGGGAATAGCCCCCGAATCTTTGTGCAATGAGAAAATTCTAAATATAATTTCCATGTTCATTTTCATATTCTGGGAATTATTAGATCTTTTACTGGTCTAAATCTGTGATTTGATTTGTGAGCCATTTCAAGTGCAGAAACTCCCTCCACCTATTCAGATCAATAATATGTCTCTCTTTTATAGTTACAGAGGTGGATTAGGATTCTACTCCCAGTAAATATTGAGTGGTTAAGTAACTTGTCTGTGTTCTCACAGCCTGCATGTTTTAAACAGGGAGCATCACGTAGTTGGATTGAGGAATGGCCTTGGAGTTGAGAAGACCTGGATTCAAGTCCTGCCTTGGACACATACTGACCGTTTGACCATGGACAAGATTTAGAATTATGTGTTGATAGGTGGCATGTGAGTCAAATTATGGTATGTAAACCAAATTCCAACATGTAAAAAAATAGATAATCTTGTATATAGTGGAGCTCTCTTGTAATGATGCTTTTAAGGAGTAGTGATTCCCACTTTATAAAAACAACAACAATAACAACCATAATACATAGAATATTTAGATGGCGCAGTGGATAGAGCTCTGTAATCAGAATTGAGAAGGTCAAATCCAGAGTTGGAGTCCTGCCTCAAATACATACCAGCTGATGATTTGGGGCAAATCACTTAACCTTCCTCTGTTTCCTCCTCTGTAAGATGGAAAAAATAATAGCACCTACTTCTCAGGGTTGTTATGAGGCTCAAATGAGATAACACATGGAAATCACTTTGCAAATCTTAAAAAGTCATATAATGTTGTGACAGGATGTTGTTCTATGTTTATTACATGAATGGCAAATATTACTTACATAATAGAAGTGTTAACATCCCTAAAGGATCCAATCTTAAAATACTGCTCATCTGAAACTGTTTAAAACATTGAAATGAGAAAGAACATTTTTTTCCGACTCTGTCAGAAAGGTATATGAAACTATAGAATAGATGTTGAGAACATGCTCCAAAGCAGAATAAAACTAATTACAGGGGGAAAAAAACCTATTTTGATGCTTTATGCCGCCTCCAAATTTAATGTCACACAAATGAATAGTAATGTCATAAAGTTTAGAAATCATTTAATTGTGTATAACATTTTAAATCATGAAACCAGAAGACTGGGGTAACAGCTTTTCTAAAGACTATTTGATCATTTGTTTGAGGACCTATGAAAACAAAACACTGTCTACTATGGCAGTGTTATATCCTTCCTGCCATAATTAAAACATTTGAAGTTATTATTCCATAGAAATTATCAAAGATGACTTTTCTAAAGGCTATTAGAAACAGATTAGTTGTCTCCACCAATTGTTACTGTCTCTCCAGTAACTCATCATTGGAATCACAGCTGTAATTGTTAAACATTGCAGCCAGCTTCAATTCTTAAGGAAGGCCTCCACCCTTCATTTGACCAGCTCCAAGTAACACTGAACAACATCTTTGTGAAGCCTGCAGCTCATTCACAGAATACCTCCTGAGGAAAGGATTGCTGAAAACACAGTTCCCCCTAGAGGTTGAAAAGATGAAAGAACATGTCTGTCATTTAGTTTAAGATTTTCATTTTAATGTATAGTTTATATTAAAGAGAGAACTTGTAGGTGGAAGAAATACAACAAATGCCAAAACATTAAATACGTATGTGAGAATTAGGCTTTAGCTCCCCGTAGCAGAGACTCTATTACTTGGCACCACTTCCTCTATTGTATATTTCTGTTTCAAGATGCACAAGAAATGGAAAATGTTTTCTACTTAAATTTATGATGAAAAATCACCAGATATTGCTGTGGTGGAGGGCCTTGTGGGAATCAATGAACACATGGCTCCAGGAGATCATGTATTTCTTATTCTTAGGACTTAGGTTTTACTATTCTCTTAGGTATACAATAACTACAAAATGTTTTTTTTCCCCCTTGCTCATTTTCTTTCCAAAAAGGAATTATTCTAGAGAGACCTAATGGAAAATGTTTAGATAGTAAGTGATATAACCCATCTAGGGTGCTGGGCATGATATGTCTTAGTATTTACAAGCTAAGTGCTAAGTTTTCATATAGTTGATAGGAAATTTCCCCACCCCCATCTTTCATGTATTTAGGTTTTACAAGACTTCTTCATAGTTAACAACCACAACAAATTACATTTTAAAGCTATCCTCTGATTATCAATAAGGAACAAGGCATAATGTTCACCAAAGATATCTATCATTTTTATGAAAGAAGTCCTACATGAGTACAAAGAGAAGAGGAATTTTCTGTAGCGGTAAGATTCTCCAGATGCTCTTGTTCGCAAATGGCATTATGTCAATTATATTAAGCTCTGTATTACTATAGGACCTTTTCAGTAAGATCCCAAGCTATTTGTTGTTAGGTTCTTTCAATTGTGTCTGACTTGTGGTGACCTCATTTGGGGTTTTCTTGGCAAAGACACCAGAGTGGTTTGCCATTTCCTTCTCCAGCTCATTTTACAGATGAGGAAACTGAGGCAAACAGGGTGAAGTGACTTGTCCAGGAGAGCACAGCTAGTAAGTGTCTGAGGCCAGATCTGAACTCATAAAGATGAGTCTTCCTGATTCCAAGTCCAGTGCACTATCCTCTGCGCCACCTAGCAGGACAGATCACAAGCTACTCAAGAAATAAATAAAACAATACACATAGGTAAAATCAAGCTGTTATGGGATATTTTCCCAGATTATAATATGCAGTTGCATTGTTGCCCATTAAGTTAGCCCTTTGGTACATGTATATCATACAGGAATTAAAGACAGACAATAGTAGCAAAATTTAATAGAAGATAGAAAGCCATCTCCATCCCATTTGAGAAACTATATAGAATTTTCAATAATCCTAACCTGTTCCATTATGCCAAATTATTAAGTTTCTTTTGGTGATACATATGGCTGAGAAATACAGAACAACTGACTTTGAATACAATCAAAATTGCATGTGACGAAAAAGCAGAGAAAAATGCCTGGTGACCTATGTCATATTACCAATGTTGAGTTGTATGCAAGAAATGGTATAAAAGATATCTTCGAGGACATGTATGACCAGAAAAGAAAATAGAATGGTTATGTATCTAGGGCTTGGGAAAACAGTTGAATAGCCCAGGTGCTACGATGGTATGGATGAAATATTAAAAGAATCAGAGGAAGATATTCTATACATAGAAAATATCTTCTATGGCAGATTTATAGGAAAATATGGAGGAAAATCTCTTAGAACAAGAAAACATTGTATCGGTGGAAGGAGTACTTACTCATATAATGTCCCAGATCTATAGACAGATCAAATAAAGTATGTGTGTATATGGACATACACACATGTGTATATCTCAATTTCATACATACTAATACATGTGTAGATGTTAAATAAGATTTTGGAAAATATTAAACAAAGAAACATTCAGGGACCGCTTCAAGGCCCATTTATTAATGTAGCCTTCCCTAACTCCTCTTAGTCACAAGAACTATCTCCATTCCTATGTGCTCTTAGAACATTCCTTTTACTCTTAAATCATACTATCTTTTGCCTTAAATAAGTGGAAAAATATTCAGTGATATGGGGCTAAAATTAATCTGAAGATTTAACATTATGCCAATAACTAGCAAGGAGATGATTACATGTATTAGACAAAATAGGGTTGGCTAGGTGGTGTGATAGAGCACCAACCCTGGATTCAGGAGGACCTGAGTTCAAATATGACCTCAGACACATAACACTTACTAGCTGTGTGACCCTGGGCAAGTCACTTAACCCCACTGCCTAGCTTAAAGAAAAATTATTCCTTAGACAAAATAGTAGTGAAATTCATATGAAGAAACAAAAGGTAAAAAATGCATGGGGAAGTAATTTTTGAAAGTGAAAACAGAAGGAGTTAGCATTACTAGATCTCAAATTGTATTTTAAACGATTATCAAAACTATCTGATCCTAAATTTAAAAAAAAAGAAGAATCTAATAGTTTAGGTAAGGAAGATTAAGAGTCAAATGCTTACAGTAATCTAATTTTCAGAAAACCTAAGAATACATAATACTAGGAAAAGAACACTTTAGTCAAAAGGAATTCTGGGAAAACTGGATAGCAATCTTTCAAATGGGTTTGGAATAGAATCTTGCATCATATATATAATAAATTCCAAATGGAATAAGCTAATAAGCTAAATGTAAGTCCTACTACTAAAATTCAGAAGAAAATTGAGAATTTTATTTTTAGAACTATAGATATGGGATGAATTTGTGATATAGAAAATATGAGAGGCAAAGTAGACTGTTCTAATTATTTAAAAATTGTGAAAATAAAGTAAATGCACCTAGAATAAGCAAAGATACAGACTGGGGAAAATCTTTGTATAAAAAATGGCCAATAGATAAGTGTTTCAAGGATAAAACTAAAGAGCTCTCAAAAAAAGTGCAAATTATCAATCATAAAAATCAAAATCAATAATAATCAAGAAATACAAATGACAACAACTGACCTGTGACCTCACAACCATCAGATTTGCAAAGATGGGAAAACTCAACGTTGGTAGGGATTTGTAAAAAATACAGGCACACTAATTCACTAATGGTGGAGCTATGAATTGGTCTCACTATTCAAGAAAATAATTTTAAATTATCAAAAATAACTACAAACTTGTTCACTTTCTTTAACACTGTACTTACACAATTTAGCTTATATCCCAAGGAGGGTACTGAAAAAAAAGAAAGATTTACTATATGAAATTATTTGTAATATTTGAAAATGGAAACAAATAGTGTACTGTGTATACAACTGGGGAATGGCTGAACAAATTATGGTATGTCAACAAATGGAATATTACCATACTCTAAGAAACAATGAGCATGAAAATTTCAAATAAATATTGGAGTACTTCGATGAAATGATGCAGAATGAACAAAGTAGAACCAAAATAATTTATATGTATATATGATAAATATAACTTAGTTTTATGTTTATATATGTTATAGACAATAGTCTTGTAAATATATGTGTGTATGTATATGTGTGTGTGTGTATATGTATATAATTACAACTAAGTAAAAGAAACCATAGGATTGTTAATGTAGAATTGAAAAGAAATTTAGAGGCCGTTAATTCTAACACTTTCATTTTATAAATGAGGAAACTAAGATATTAAGTGACTTGTTCAAAGATCAGACAGTATATGGGATGGATTTTGAACCCAGGTCTTTCTGAATCCAAGACCAGCACCCTATCCACTTCACCAAAGTGCTTATAAATTTAAAATAACAACAAAGATAAAAATCAATCTGATAAAAATCATTAGAAAATATTGGTACTAACCTAAAGCATACACTTGCCTACTCTTTTAAAAAAACATAAAACTGCAAATATGTAAGTTTGCACATACAGTTTAGTTACAATCATTCTTTGCTTTGTTTTTTTCCTTTCTTTTTAAGGACTTAAAAGGACACCCATGGGGGTAGATGTGGATCTCTACTGGTAATGTTTTATGATATCTTGAAAATTGTAAAATATTATCTTTCATTGTTTATTTTAAAAATAATTTTATTAATATTTTCTGTTTCATACATCACCATAGTGTCTCATGTATCCTTCTCCCTCCTTTTTCCTGGACCGGAAGCCATTCTGTATAACAAATCGTGTTTTGTTTTTCAGACAGGAAAAAAAAAAGATTAGCATGACTGTTGGATACACTGAGAAAGTCCAAAAACATGTGTAATGAGTAACACCTGTGAACTCATCTCCATGAAAGCATAGGTTGGGGATATCTTCTCATATCTCTTCATTGGCATCCCACATAATCTTTATAATTTTGTTACGTTTACATTTGATTTTTTTTGGTGACTTTTTTTTCCCCATTTACATTGTTGGAGTTACTGTGTATATTGTTTTCTTGTCTCTGCTTATTTCCCTCTGCATTAATTTGTATAGATTGTTCCATGCTTCTCTGTATTCACACACATATCATTTTTTTACAGCATAGTAGCATTTCATTACATTTGTATACCACAATTTGTTTAGCCATTACCCAATTGACGAGCATGTACTTTGTATCCAATTCTTAGCTATCAGAAAAAGTGCTGTTATAAATATTTTTGGAGTATATGGGGACTTTTTTCCTGGTGATAGTTTCCTTGGGGTGTAAGACCAGTAATAGTCTCTGGTTCAAAAGGTAATGACATTTTAGTCACTTTATTTGCATAATTTCAAATTGCTTTCCAAAATGATTGTACCATTTCACAGCTCCATCAACAACAATGTATTAGTGTGCTTCTTTTCCCACAACCTCTGCAGAATTAGCTGTTGTCATTTTTTTTGTAAATATTGCCAATTTGCAGGGTGTGAAGTGAAACCTCAGGGTTGTTTTGATTTGCATTTTTCTCATTATTACTGATTTGGAGCATTTTTTCATGTGGTTGTGAATACTTTGCAGACCTTTTGAGAACTATTTGTTAATATCCTTTGACCATTGGGGAATGGTTGTTATACACACACACACACACACACACACACACATACATATATA